TATATATCTACATCTTCATATATCTATATATACAAATTATAAAAATATATATAATTTTATTTTATATATATTTTTATATTTTTTTTTTTTTTTTTTTTTTTTTCCCCCCATCTCTCTATATCCTTCTACATTTATTATGTGACAGGAGGAGAGGGAAGAGGATCAAAGAGGAGGGGAGGGGAGGAGAGGGAAGAGGAGAGGAGAAGAGAGAAGAGAAAACGAGGGTAGGGGAGGGAAGAGGAGAGAAGAGGAGAGGAGAGAAGACGAGGGTAGGGGAGGGAAGAGGAGAGAAGCGAAGAGAAGAGAAAACGAGGGTAGGGGAGGGAAGAGGAGGAGAGGGGTTTGGAGAGGGGAATTGAGAGGGGAATGGAAGCAATCTAGTTGGAGTTCAAATGACATGCAAGATAAAAGGCATGGATGAGAATCGATTCTGAATTATGAGAGAGAAGAATATGCAAGTCTACATTCCTTAGAATTCTAAGCTGCGTATTCCAAGAAATGTCGACAAAAAAACAAGGACTTACAAACACGAAGGCATACAAGTATCACAGCACATCAATATAGAGACTGAGGAATACATCGCCATACAAGTATGCAGACATACAGCTTCAAAATCCTCTAAAGATGCGTGCGGGCACACAGCTCACGGTAGAACATGCAAAAGGCAAAACCATCCTAGTCAGACAGTGCAGGACTCATATCTTGTTCAGAAGGTTCTCTTGTCCATTCTCCTAACCCTGTCATTTGTGTGTTTGCAGGAGGTCAATTCAATCAACATTCACATTAGGATGCCAGATGGTTCAGAGCAAACATTGCAGGTGTGCTCAGTCTGCATGTGCTCTAGCGCGTCTTGAGCGTGTTAATGGTGTAGGTCGATCAGGGACAGACAGTCGAGTACGTGCGCGCGTATTTGCATGAGAATTGTGGGCTTCCTTTCTCCTCGTCGGTAAGAGGTCTTGTGCTCTTGGAGTAGCTTGACGAACTTCAGACGCTCTCGTTCCAAGCCCGAAAGCTCCTTGATCCTATGTCGCTCGTCGACTGCGGGGTGAGAATTTGCTTGCTCCCTGCTTCCTGTGAGTCCTTTTACATCGCACAGGTGTCAGACAACTCCAACTTGACTTGCACAGTGCAATCAGCCGCAGATGGCGGAGATATGTGAGCGAGCAGACAAGTAGAGGCCATGGCTGTGGTCAGGAGCTAAGCAGGCAACGAGAGAATTGCAAGGAAGCGAGAGAAATGTGAATTCATCGCAAGGAAGGGAAAAGGGAGGCAAAGGCGGTGTGCCAGAAAACATCTAGGCAAAGTCGTTGTGCTAGAAATTATCTATAAACTACACTATGAACAGTGATTCGAGTACTACACTAAAGCATAAATCCTTAACTTCACGAGGGTTGGAGCGTCATCGCATTTGAAACAAGTTTCTGTATACACGAGTTCTGCAAGTCACAAGTGTCAATCAGAAGCATTTGGAAACAATTGAATTATGCTGACCAATGCTGCTTCCGCATGCTCCCGTGTCCCTTCAAAGTTTTCACGATAAGAATCTGTAGCAGCAGGACTGAACGTCCTGGATTGCCGATCATATTTGCTTCTGTCATCACCAATGAGTCATAACGTAGAAACAGACAAGGTTAGCACCTGTAGAAGAAATGATCGCCAATCTTCAGTGAGTCCAAGTTGAAGTCCTGAGGTAGACTGTCTCTATGCACGATCTATGACACTCATTATGTCAGACATTCCTTAGTCGTTGACCGGAACTGAAACTCAAGACATCAAGGAAAAAAGTTTCTTACGACTGTCTTGTCAATTATCGTCGTTACATAGTTTTCATCGTATTCATCCGACAAGAAAACCTTAACAAATAAATCATTTTTTGTGCACGTGTTGCCTGCCCTCCTACCTCTCGAGGATGCTGGGAATCTGGTTTTTGCAGAGCACTTGCTTGAAGAGCCTGCGACAGTCAGTAAGAAGCGAACCCGCAAGCTATCAGCTACTTGGTATGGCCTGAAAAACCATCTGCAGCGCATCAACTTGAACCCACTTGACACTTCCAGCCAGAATGCGACGATCTGATTCACCATGAGCAAGCAATTTCAGCTACGATACACTTGCCTGCGCTAGGAATGGAGGTTGTTCTTTGGGTGCGGACACCTTGACATACTCGCCAATACATATCGACGAGCCGTCTGGTAATCTGCAACTGGATGATGAGCCCGTACTGAAGATCGCCCGGCCGAGTGAAATTACCTAAGGCTCGAATAGTACTTTCTTCCGTTGACCTCCTCTAGGGGCTTTCCAATCCACATGTAGGCACCATGACTGGAGGCGTCAGCAGTAGAATGCTTCCTGCTGTTGAAGAGCTCTGATTCACAATTCTTTCTTTTCGCCGACTCTTGGCTGGTGAAATCAAATCAGATGGGAGGAGCAACAGGCCAAACAAGAGAAGTATACAAAGAATCTTGCGATCGTTTGACGCGAGGGATTGGGACATCAAGAACTGCGCTAGTGCTTGTTTTTTTCCTCTTTGAATCCTTTTGACTACGAGCGCTACCGTCATAGTCATCGTTGGATTTGACAGGCGTACTGTCAGCCCTGCAAGACAGGAGTTATAGCCTTTGAACTGACAGAAATTCTCACCTGTCCGCCAATTCTGTGATGTCAGTGCCTTTGATCATCTCTTTGGTATCTCTTGATTTCCCTGTTCTTCCGGTTTTTGGACTGTCTTTCACATCCTAAGGTGATGAATCAGACATATTAAGCGTGTGATGAGGAAAATGACCTTGGCTTCACCATTGTCGCTAGTAGCATCAAAGGTCCTACAGCGACTCTTGTCTTTGCTTTGCTCCTGTACGACTTTGGCCTTCTTCTTGGGTCGTGAATCAGTATCTACACTCGACGAATCGTCCTGCTCCTTTGTATCCGCAGCTTCTCGCTTGTTGTTCTTCGTCTGCATAGTTGAGGTTGATCGTCGACTTTCCTTCAAGCCCTTGACCACTATTCGATCGTAAACGCTTCCTTCAAGGATCGAGCGCCAGTGCTTGTTCAGGAGCGCATGGCCTTGTATGGACTCAGTGCTCTTTCCATCCTTGACGCCAATCTTGAAAGTGATCTTGACCTTGACGTCATTTTGTATGGCATCATCGTTCTCTTCATCCGATCCACTTGTGGTGAGAGTCGGAAGGAACGATACACGTTGCCAATAACCCAACTTGGAATATGCTTTTGTAAACGAGTGAGAACGTGACGAAGCAACAGCAGCTCTCTTTGCATGGCGCAAATCTCTGTCTGTTAAAGGATTCAACAAACTTGCTTGGGGATCATAACGCTTACAACACGTATAAACAACCTCATCATCATCATCCTGCATGAAACTTTTGGATTCATCCGTTTCTGAATAGATGAGGATCTCGCAAAGCCCTTGAACAGACGCAATTGGATTTTCATCAATAGTATTCGAAATGAATACTTCAGGAAAGGACTTCTGCTTCTTATTGGCACCTTTGTTCAATCCCATTGCCCACTTTTCTCGCAATGAAGCAGGCAAGTCTGATGGTCGGTAGAACCATCGACATGTCACCATCGGCATTTTGTCATCATTTCTCTCCCAAAGCTTTTCTGCTCTTGCAATATAAGATTCACCACCACCTGCATATAAATGGACGTAGCATCCTTCCTCGAAATACGTATCATCCCATATTATTCCTCGGTAGCATTTTCCTTTTTTGAATTCAGCAATGGGTCGACCAACCCACCTGAATTCCTCATCATCATTCAGCATAGCCCTTTTCAAAGGCAAAGAATCGTAAAGATGTAAAGAACTCGAGTCCTTGAGGCGCACAAAATCAACATTCATACTGCGAGTTGGAGGCTTGACCGAAATTTTGGCTGTCTTCAAATCAGGGGAGTTGACATTTGTAGCTTCAGAATTTGGTTTTCTTCTAACTGCGATAGCTGGAGAAAGGGTAAGTCGATCTCTGATTCGTAGAGAAGGTTTACCTCGCTTGTCTTGAGCTTCCTCAAAGCTTAGGCGTTGAGGCGGATTTCTACTACGTGGCTCGATAACCTCTTGGAAATTTGAGTGAACTGACTCTCGTCTCGTAGCGCTCATATTCCTGTCCTTGTCAGCTCCGAACTCTTCGGGTTTGCTTTGTGCTTCTTTTGAAATTTTCACAGATTCTTGAATACGAGCATTTGAGCCCCAGTCTGATTTCTGCGTCAAAACATCCTTGGGTTTTCCGGCTTCTCCTTGTCTATCAGTCTCTTGGTTTGGATTCTTGGTTTTGTTATTCAACTTACTGCTTTTAGAAGCCAAGGGTCCATCCATGACTTTACTTTTGATCTCATCTGTGTTTGCAGCCAAGTTTTGTAGGCATACCTGTGCTCTGTTCTCGTCACTTTTACCGTTGCCATTTGTGTTTGACTGCGTTGAAGTATCTGACGTCAGTCCTTTCATCGCAGCTGCAGACTGGTGCATAATAGGGCGTTTGTTGTCTTTCAATTTGCGTTCACTGCCCTGTATACCATCATTTGAAGAATTTTGATGCTGATTGAAAGCCATTGGCGATTCTGCAGTATTCATCCCAGTTGGATCTGCAAACCAAAAAAATCAAATGATCTCTCTCAGAGACTATACTGCAACAAGTACTATTGGCAAGATGGTTGCGAGCAGCGACGTTGACCGTTGGTGCACCCGTATTTGACGATTTATTGCCTACACGCGATTCTGACTCATTGCCAGCCTTGTGGATGTTTCCATGCTTAAAGTTACCAGCAGCTTCGTTATTGGGAGTCAAAACTTTTGCTGGATCCCTGTTGGATTCCCTATTTTCTGTCAGCTCATAGTCAAAGACGATGACCAAATATTACAACCTATTCACGCCAGTTTGTGATTTAAGCGCTTGGATATAACTACTTGCTATTGCAGCTGACACATCATGTCAGCAACTAAAAACCAAATAATTCAAGCAATTACCAGTCGAGTGAGCTGGAAGTTTTGGATAGGATTGAACACTCTCTTCAGGATTGGTCGTTGCCGGCTGATATTTGGAGGAAAATCAGCTGCAATTAACAAAAAAATTGTACCTTTGCAGCCGCTGGTAATCCTTGTTGCATATTTCCAACAACATGACTTAATGCTTCTTCAAAAAGCGAGCTCCCTTGAAACAAATCCATGTCAAAGACCTTGATTTGCACTTGATCAAGGAGCAGACCTCCCTCAAAAGATTCTGCAGTATCTGCAGTGTAGGAAAGGGACGATCTCAAATCCTGAAAATCATAGCCAACTGTGTCAAGAGCAAGCCCACCCCTCTCGAAAAACAACTAAAGGAGAAAAGCCAAATTCAGGATGCTACCTTCAAGCGTGGAAAGCTTTGTGGAAACTCAAACACCGGTAGATTCCCATTTCCCTTTGAAACCTCGCTCACATTGGTATTCAAGACGGGAGGCCGATCTCCTTTTCCTAAAAATAATTCTTTCGTCAAGAGCAATCTTTTGGTCCGACATTCATACGTGCATCAGAACCTGCCAGAACAGTGCTAGCATAAGTTGTTTTTGAGCTGGGAAAGCTATCCTTGCTGCTGACAGCCTTCCCATCTGAGTTGGAGTCCTTTTGGGGCAATAATGGTTTGTTCAGCACCTTATCTTTCTCCAATGCAGAAATTTTTGGCAGCAGACTATGCGGCAATGAAGTTCCGGCAGGATCCAAAAAGTGTGGTTCCATGTAAACAGGCTTTCCTATCGACCCTTTATCGCTTGTCGGGTTCAAAAGCAAATTTGAACCGAAGGTCAGAGCAGTAATTGGAGTTCTTCTTTGTTGGATAGCAGGATTGATGAACAAATGTACAGATACTGGATTCGATCCAAGTGATTTGTGCATAGATACAGTAGAATGGGCATCCATAGCAGAGGTATCCTGCTTAAAACCATTACCAGCATTTCTTTTGCCTGGGCATGGTTTATGCTGGGACTTGAAATGCTCGTTCTGTAAGGAACACTACTCCCTTCATCCAAGTGACTTCTATTCTCCGCAGCAAACAGGGAGTAAATTCCGCTATGCATACTATTACCCGATGACATCTTTTCAATGTTGTCTCTTTGTTCGGTGCGCCAGTGATCAGTAGTCCAATCTCGCCTCCCGGAAGAATGACTGCTTTCCCTATCTTGGTTCCCAGAATTTTTCGTGGCAGGAGTCACGTTTGATTGCCGTTCATGCAATGGTGATGGTGATTGGTCCATTATGGGTTGGGCATTATTTTGTTGGTTGCTGCGGCAAAACTTTGTTCCAGAACTGAATTGCTGGGAAGTTGGGGTTGCGTTCCATTCTGCAAACTTTCCGCCCAGTTTTGCCATTTTCCCACTGTTCCCATAAGTTCAACTTTAGCACCCTCTTCCTTATTTTCTGTGCTGCTACTTCCTGAGATTTAGCCTCTGTCGGCCAGCTCACATGTGACCTGCTCAGATTGTTGAGCTCCTCCCTAGGGAGTTTCTCTCCGACTGATGTTGTTGGAATGCGTGAAAGAGAGTCCACATTAAAACGAGATTCTTTGTTCACAATTCCTGGTATGTTTTGTGAAGACATCCAATCGAAGAGACCTCTCCTACCAACTTCATTTGGTGTAGTTTCAGATAAACCGGGCAAGTTGCTTTGAAGCATGTGACCTCCTTGATTTGCATGAGGGAAGCCCGGAAGCGAGACAGAAGAGAAAGAAAGGGGAAGATGCTCTATTTTGTGTTGCGGGAATGAGTTGCTACTCCCCTTTTCCTCCCCCTCCCCCCGCCATCCTGCCATGCCTGCTGCCACCGGCGACGCCCAAAAAACCACCCTACCCCCCCAATCATCAATAGATTACCCCAGTATCTCTCACATGACCGCCTTCAATCTACACCCTGCTACTACTGTCTGACCCTCTAAAAAGCCCCCACCTCCCTCGAAGCCTTCAACCCTGGTGTACCCACCCCATGGATGCGTCTCTTGTCTACCCCACCTACATCGAGATTTGCGAACCCATCCTTGCACCACCGCAAACCCCTCCTAGAGACCAAATGTTTCTAAACACCCGTAGGGGTGGATTGTTCCCTGTAACCCCTAACCCCCTTCTATCCCTTTATTGGATTGTCTTCGTCCATCCACCCACCTATCACGTATGGATTTGCGAAACTTAATCGTTGCCTACCGGTGGTGGAAACTAGACGAATAACCTCTCTATAGTCTGCCCCGAGCCACCGGCTCCTCGACACACCCTACCCACTTCCATCACTACCCCCACCATGATTATCAATCAAATATCGGAAAGCTCATCGCTTCACTCGTCCCCTACTACACAGAAAAAAAAATGAAAAAAAGAATAAAAAGAAGGAGTATCTTTTCTCCGTTTTTTTTTCTTCTGAAATTTAATAAGTATTATAGATATTTCTTTCTTTCTTTCTTTCTTTCTTTTACCATGTACCACACATGTTCGTTTCTTTTTTGTCAGCAACTGTCATCGTACAATTCGTTACGCTACATTGTTATAAGAGCTACACGAGAATGCTGAGAAAAAGCTAATATACAGAAGGCGGCGCACACGGATATCGCCTCGACAAAGCAGGCAAAGGGAGGTGGAGGAAGAGGAGAGAGCACGATGAAATCCTTGAATAAACTGCAACATGATATTGAGTTGACTTCTGCACATGCCTAAGAGGGGAGAGAGCAAGACATGGCAAGCGGCAAATTGACGGATGTGTTAAAAAAGGGAATTGCATTGCATGATATCAACCCAGAAAACAACTTATCATCAGTTTGCAGAAAGAATCAGAGAAGGGTATACAACCTGCAGCAGCTCAGTTTGTAAATAGTGTGGTTGTTGTGGTTGGAAAAGATTTCTTGAGAGACTCAGCATGCAAGATTGAAATATGATGCTGAAAATGGAGATTTGCTAGAGGGATGCAATGTACCTGGGACAACAAGGAGAAGAATGAATCCTTGCGAAAAATGAGATGGAATTGCTTGCTTCTTTAGGGTTTAGGGTTTAGGGAGGGTTTAGATCCTGAAGAATTGTGTTCGAATGGGTAAAGTATAATGTTGTGTGTATAATGTTTTGTACAATCGTAACATACTTCTTGTCATCTGTCTCGAACAAAGGGATACTGCTGGTGAAGCTCTCAGGAGAAAAACAGATAGGGATGGCTTTCAAGAAAATTCTAGGGGGTGAAAGGGCGAGATGATGAGCGAGATGAGATCATCCCGTTCATGTCAATAGATTTAAGTAGGTACTTGGCAGGAAAGCTCTGTTGAAAAAAGTTGGCAAGCAGAAGGAGACAAATTCAGAACATACGAAAGGAGGACAGGAAGTGTATCGAGGGAAGGACAACGGTTGTCTTGGTATATACAAAAATTCGGGTTCGCAAATTTTCAGTGACCTGTACAGGATGGACAGAATGTTTTGAATAAGAATCATGCAGAGGGCCTGGCAGAACGAAAGGGGAATAGCAGAACGAAATTTTCAGAGCAGGTGTAGGAGTGGGAGGGAAAATCTAAGAAATCAAAAACCCCTTTTGAAAACCTCGAGCAGTCTTCTAACGGTTTTGATTATTATTGAGATGCCACAATATTGTTTGAAAGGAGCTGAAATCATTAAATCCAGAAGGTGTTTGCTTACCTGAGGGAGAAAGAACAAGTGCATTTGAACAAGGCAAGGAAGCACTGCTTGGAACAATCAAAAAATGATTTAACGCCACGAAAAGTTTAGACCGTAATTAGGAAGGTAGTAAAAGCGAGATTGAATTGCTGCATTAGCAAAACGGATTGAGCAGTATGAGAATGAAGCGGGAAAAGCGGGAATATGAAGGGTTTAGAGTGTGAATGGGAGAAAGTGGGAACATGAACACTTCAAAGGATATTATCAGGTGCCAGGTTTGAGCAGCGGGAGGGGTGTAGGATATTGATTCCTGGGACT